GCTGTGCTGATTTGTTTGATATTTGCAGCTTCCTGTGTGACAAAGCGTCGATTTTAAAATACTGCTGTTGGTGTATAAAGCACTGAACGGTTTCCTGGGGATCAGGTCTGCTTACTGTCCTCAGAGTCCAAACTAAACACGGACCAGCAGCATTCAGGTTTTATAATATCAGATCTTCTCTCAGTGTGCTGCAGCGTTGACTTCTGCTCTTTGTTTTATTTCAGCTGATTTTGATGCTCTGATTCAGTTTATTTTAAATTCATGTGTCTTTATATCGACTTGTGTTTCTTTTTTTGTCTTTAATGTCTCATGTAAAGCAGTTTGTTCAAAAATCAACCGCCTGAAAACATCAACTCAAAACAAAGTTATTCCTATAAAACAACTTTACAACTTTTATTTCCTACAGCAGCTTCAGTCTCATACATTTGTCTCATGATTAAAACTGAGACTGTTTAATATTCAAACTCAACCATTTGTTTCCCAGTAATAACCAACATCTTACACAACCGACGAGAAACCGACGAGAGCGACTGGGAACATTCATTTCCATTATGAAGAAAAGATGGAGGTGCTTTGACTCATTGACTTTAACACCTGTGTCTGTCAGCCAATTTATTTCCTGCTAATCCGTTAATCTCCTCTGAGCGTCCTCACCTCACTTCTCAAACTTTCATATTTATTATTTATTCTTCTGACTCTGATTCGCTGCGACGGCGTCTCGTTTCATTCACACAGTAACAGCATCAGAGGTCAGAGGTCAGTGGGTAAGGCTCAGAGGAGTAAATATTCCCCCACGGCCCTCGACTGCTGCAGAGTTTAAGCTTTCTGCATCATGACGTCATCCTCAGTGAGTTATGATGATGATGATGATGATGATGATGATGATGATGATGATATAATCTTAAAGGAACAGCCTGACATTTAGAGAAGGCTGGTCTCAGATGTTTATCAGGTTCATCTCTCAGTGTTCAGTACAGATGTACGCGCTCTCGTAGTTTTTTGTTGTTGATGAACAGATTTTGAGCAGAGGGCTGACATGTTTTGAAGCAGCACACAAAATATAGTGCGCCAAAAATCCACAAGCAAGTTTTTGTGAAGTGAAAATAGACGACCAAACAGAACGTTTCAATCCCCAAACTGTCAGAAAAAGATTTCGTGCGTCGCGATACATGATCTGTCAAATGCAGAATGCCAAACATTCAACAACGTCCTGCTGCATCGGTGCGTATTTTGCAGCATACTTTTATTCTGACCCACAATCCTCTGCACAGTGGACGATACGTCACATCAACTGAGCCATAGACAGCTGACAGAAGCCACAGTGACTAATCAATCAATCAATCAATCAATCAATCAATCAATCAATCAATCAATCAATTTAGTCATCATAACTTAAAAGCTTAAACTACCAGCCTGTTCTCAGTCTTTAATTACCGCCATTTTCTCAGTGATCTTGGCGTCAGACACCGACGCACAGAAGCACAGGTCGGCAGGATTTGGACGGGTGGATGGGTCCAACAACCCAACTGTCACCCAGGAGGCCGGTGTGCAGAGGTGTATTTTGAAAACAGACAATGCATGTAACAGGCTGAAGATGACACGGCGTCCCAGAACGTCAACAACCAACACACCCAGGGTACCTTGGACGCCATATGTGGACGTGGAAAGTCCATGACCAAACGTGGACATGTGACGAGGTCACAGTGAGGATGTGACGGGCAGGTCGACTCTCTGGAAGACAGGGGACTGAAAATTCAGTTTTCTCTCGTTTTTTGAGATAAAGTGACAAATTCGGCCAAAGCAAGTGTAATTTCCAAAATAGAAATTTGACCTGGGCTCAAACTGAAGCTCATCACATTGGGAAGTTTTCTATGTACGAGTGAAGCAGTGATATTAAACACAAAGTGATGTGAATAATAATTTTTGATAAGAATTTGTCAAAGAGACGTTTCATTGAATGTCATCATTTTTCTGTTTTTTTGTTGTGTGTTATATTTGTCAGGACACTCTTCACCAAACTTCATACACGTGTGACCATTCATGCTGTCGTAGTGCCCCAATATTTGTATTGACATCATTTCACCAGAAACACGTCCCATAAAAGTGGTTTTGGGCCCCTGAGGCCAAACGGCCCCGAGGTGGGGGTGCTGGTTACCACCCTGTGTACAGAAAACCTCCTGAGGGCCGAAGACATTTCAATCTGCACCAAAGCAGTGAGCCAGTGTTTCTAACTGTCGCGCTGTGACGCCAACACGGCTCAAAGTTTATACTCCAGGCGTGAATATTTGTGATATAGCTGCTGCATGTATAATTCATGGACTCATTTGTTGGAGGGTGAGAGGGTGAGGTGTTGGATGAAGGGGGAGGTAAGTAGATGTCACCTGATGTGTTGAAGGTACAAGCAGCTTTTGGTTCCAGTTACAAAGGAAACAGATAAGTGGGCGTACCTGTCCTTTAATTATTAACCGACTGAACCAGCTCCCTGATGTATTTTTAAAAACAAAGAACCGTCTGTATTTTAAACGGCTTGTTCAACTTTTTGTAGTTAATCTCCCTCAATTTAATGTAAACTCACATTTATCAAATACGTTATATTAAATATTAAGAAACTGAATGTTGTGATTGAAAAACTCTTTATTATAGTTTCACTAATAATTTATAGACTCGTGAGACTGACTGTTTGTTATCTTGACACAACAAACGTTCTCCTGTTATTTTTTTGAATGCCAGCTGAAATGAAGTTTTACAGCAAACACATGAATTTAAGTATTTATTCTGCGATTGTCTTTTATTGTTGTTCTGTTTGCGTTTTCAGTCAACAAGACTTTGCCCTATTGTTTTAATTTTGTTAGCAACAATAACCCTGCCAGTACTGCAATGAAACCAAAGCAGCTATATGTAAAAAAGGATAAATAAAATAAAATATATTTAATAATAAAATGATTAAAAAAATCTTGCCTTATCATATATACTGAATGTTTTTATACAAGAACAATGTAGCCGTTGTGTTTAAAATGCAGTGCCTGTGAGGTTTAACAAGTCATAGATTTTAATGATATTTTTTAAATGTTTAAAAAAATAATTTGGAGACAAATAGAAATAGTGCCACATTGCTTGGTATGAAAGCGTTCAGTTTGTCCCTTCGATGTGATTTTTACATTACTGAAATTTTTTTTTTGATAATTTCGCTAAGTAAAAAATATGAGTGTTTTTGTTTATGCTGTAAAAAATAACATTTTGAGAAAATGCAGCATTCAATATCACAAATACCCCATAATATAAATACTGTGTTATAGTAAAATAAGATTCAGTGATAGTATGTGAGTACAATCAGTTAAACGTATAAAACTCTGTTGTTCTGTTTATATCTGAACTCATCAGGTGGTTCTGACTCATGTATTAATGTAAAATCAGGATGTTGCTGTTGGAGTTCTTTGACGTGGAGCTCATTTTAAAATATTAAGTGATGATTATTTTCATTATGGATTAATCTGCTGATCATTTTCTCCATGAATCGACTGATTGGTTTGTATAAATAGTGAAAATAGTGAGAAATGTTTGTCACAGTGAGGCAGACCCCAAAGTGAATGTTTGTTTATTTTATCTCAACATTATTACTGATATATTTCAGTTAATAACGTTATTAACACATCACTGTTATTGACAGTATTGGTAATACAGCATAATCATTAATATTGCTACTAATACAGTTATTAATAGAATTATCTTTACATCACAATTGTTCATGTTATTACTGACATTTAATCTATTAAATTTTTTACTAATACGTTACAATTATTAATATTATTACTAATACAGTTAATAACGTCATTACTCATACATTACTCATACATTACAGTTGTAACATTATTATTAATACATCACAATTGTTTTTGTAATTACTGACACATTTAATTCATTAACAGTTTTACTAACACATTACAACTATTAACATTGTTATAAACATTTAATCTATTAATGCTTTTACTTACATAGTTAATCTATTAAATGTTTTACTTATATATTACAACTCTTTACATTCTTCCTAACACATTTAATCTATGAATGTTTTTACTAATACATTACAACTATTAACATTATTACTAACACATTTAATCTATTAACATTTTTTACTAATACATTACAACTATAAACATTAATACTAACACATTTAATCTATTAACATTTTTTACTAATACATTATAACTATTAACAGTGTTACAAATGTTTAATCTATTAATGGTTTTACTAACACATTTAATCTATTGACATTTTAGTAACACATTACAACTATTAATATTATTAGAAACATTTAATCTATTAATGCTTTTACTTACACAGTTAATCTATTAAATTTTTACTTATATATTACAACTCTTTATATTTTTCCTAACACATTTAATCTATAAGTGTTTTTACTAATAAATTACAACTATTAACATTGTTACAAATGTTTAATCTATTAATACTTTTACTTACACACTTAATCTATTAAATTTTAACTTATACTCTTTATATTTTTACTAACACATTTAATCTATGAATGTTTTTTACTAATACATTACAACTATTAACATTGTTACAAACGTTTAATCTATTAATGGTTTAACTAACACATTTAATCTATTGACATTTTTAGTAATACATTATAACTATTAGCATTTTTACTAACACATTTGATCTATAAGTGTTTTTACTAATATATTACAATTATTAACATTATACTTACAAATTTAATCTATTAACAGTATTACTAACACATTACAACTATTGACATTATTATTATTAATACATTACATTTGTTAACATAATTCAAAGGAGAACTTTGTGAAACAGGAGCCATGAAGTCTTTTTAAAAACAACTATCAGCTGATGGTTTCAGCTGCTGCTCTACTGGAGCTGGTGTGTAGTCGACAGCTTGTGTGGCACTAATGACCCCTCATACAGAAGCGACCACTGCACTACAGCAAACACACACTGACCTCCCTCCCTCTGTCAGAGTGTGTCTGATCCTCTCTGCTCGCAGTCGGACGCTGGCTGTGGCTGATCTGTGTGTGATCACAGTTCTTTAATGGGATTGTCAATCAGCTATCGGATCAATAACAGCTATGGGAGCAGTGATGAAGCTTCTCTGCAGCGGCTCCATGGTCTTCCTCCTGCTTCTCCTCTGTCTTCCAGGTGAGGAGATTCTCTGATTCACTTCTGCTGCTCTAAGGTAAAAATAATAATACTGTGGATTTAACGCCTGTCAGTTAAAACAGTAAAGAGTGGAGAGTTTATATTATGGGATGGCAAAATAAAAGCACCTGTTTATTCATGAACACTGTGTCAGAAATTTAATCTGAAGCTGTTTGTGTTACTTAATGTTTCACTTCAGATGATTTCACCTGAGAAACAAACTGAAACATGTTCAGACAGATGTTGACCGATGAAAGAAGCTCAGGTTTAAACATAAGTGACAGTGATGAAGAGCACGGTGAAGACTGAGGATTAAAGTTATTGATCTGTGATGATATGTGGTTAATATTTCATCTGCGATACTGTCATCAACCAAACAACCTATCAATACAATACAATGATGATAATATAAACCAGTAGTGATGATGTGCCTTCAGAAGTGACGCTCATGCTCCTGTTTTAAGTCATTTGAACATAATCAATCATCATGTGCTGATGACTTGATTTATAATTTGGTTCATAGTGTTTCCACAAATAGTGAAAAGTCCAGGATGTTGCCTTCAGGTGTCTCGTTGTGTCCGTCCATCAGCTGACAGCCCAAAGATTTATTCAGGTTTAGTTCTTGAAAAATGACTTCAAACATTATTCAGTTGCTGTTTTTCTCTCTGCTCAAATAAAAAAAAACTCCAAGCAGTGTAAATCTGAGCCGACAGGTTTATCAGTAACCTTCATGTGTTCATTCTTCTGGTGAATGTGTTGAATGGTGGAGTGAAGGTGGGGGCGTTCAGGACTCACTGTGTCTCTGAGTGATAAGGACAGGGGGAGCTTTACAGCTGTATGAGGACACCAGGTCAGGGACGAGGAACAGATGTGAATAACTGTGGTGCTTTTATTGTGAAGGAATAAATCATTGATATCTGAATGAAGGGCTCAGCGGAGCGCCTGGAGCGCCAAACAGTTTGTTTTATTAATGATGACACTTGGTGAAGTGATGAAGAAAGAGGAGCTGATTGTGGTTTTGATGTTTGAGAGTTTTGATATTTTAGTGTTGTCGTAGCAAAACGTCAAATATCTCATTTAAATCTGAAATACGTTTCTGCTCTCTGTCGAAACACCAGGATGAAAACTTTGAGGCGTTTGAGTGTAAACGCTGACAGAAACTGTTCTAGAGACTTTACACAGGCTTTTTCTATTTTTATGTCAGCTTCAGACTCCATGATATCAGCCTGCTTACAGCCCGACGCTGCGACGTACGGTGTCGGCTCGGATTGTGAACAACAGCGAGTGTCGTATGCGATAATCCATGGTTTCATCTGGTGTAGTGTGTCATAGTAAACACAACCGACGCCTCGTCTGAGACGCCTCACGACGTCCCGACACAAAGTCTAGCATGTTTGATTTTCTTCTTGTCGTCCACGACTTCTCCCGTCACAGCCGTCACTTTGACCAATAGGAACACAGAGAGATCTGTTGCCATGGAAACTGTAGGACAACAACAGCCCAGTCTTTTAGATGTTTCCTGTTGGGACGTTAGCACACAGAGTGAAAAGGAAACAGCAGAGGCACTTTATCAACCCGCTGAGTACTGCCATTAGCATCAAGCTAGCAAAGAATGTTCTTTCTTCATAATGGAGGATATAAAGGAATCAAACTCACGGATAGTGTCTGGGCCTTTACTCAGCACAGCTGCAGAGGCTACCAGCTGCATCTCAAACACACCACACCATTTAGCATTCTGATTAATCCTGTTAAATTGGATGCATCACGTCATCATTTGAAACTCAGCACTTCCTGTTTCAGTTTCAAATTAAAAGCCCCGTATCATTTCAGCTGAGAGAATCCCTGCATTTTCTAAAAAGGCTTTTATTGTGAAACATTTGCAGGATCTTCCTGTGGAGGATTCCCATACATCCTCACTGTGACCTCGTCACATGTCCACGTTTGGTCATGGACTTTCCACATTGACATATGACGTCCAAGGTACCCTGGGTGTGTTGGTTGTTGACGTTCTGGGACGCCGTGTCAACTTCATACATTCATAAAGTCTCTTTCAAAATAAAAGCACTATGTTGGCGCCATACCACCAATTGACATTTCTTTCCTTCAACAACAGACACACCTGCTTGGGTTTAGGAACAAAGAACAGGGTCTGGCTTTACAATCCTTCAGGAAGTGAACACCGCTCTTCTTTGTGAAACTCTGTGGTTGTTGGACCCATCCACCCCTCCCGCCTGCCCCACTTGGAATTTTGTTGCTTTAACTTTCGTCCTTGTCCCGCTGCGTTTCCCCCTGACGCCTCCAGGCACTGTTAAACTGTAACAGCAACAGGCTGACGTAAGAGGACGCCTTTTTTCATCTGTGTCTGATGCCACAAGTCACTGCCAAGCGTCGGATTTCGTGACTTTGGAGTGAGACCGTGCTCGTGTACATGCAGGACGACTCAACTCCCAATCACATGAACTTCTCTCTCAGTGTCTTTCTGTCACTTTTGACACGTAGGAGGACGTCTCACCTCTGTGTGACGGCAGGTTTTCACCCCGTCTCAAGTTTTTATTGTCACGTACACGTGTTAAACAGTTAAATTAGATCTCAGGCTCCCTCCAGCTGTGGCCGTTCAGATCTGTATAGAAATATAAAGAAAAATCACATGAGTGGAACAAACCTGATTAGAATCTAAAACAGAGCAGCAGCTATGAAAAGACTAAAATATAATACTGTAAACAGACGTGTAAACAGACGTGTAAACAGATGTCAGGCAACATGTTACATAAACTAGATCTTCTTCAGCGTAACCTGACCATTAGTGTTGTTGACAAGGCTGATGATGTCATCCTGTTGCTGTGACAACCAGCTTCTTGTTCACCTTCACAGGTAACAGCTTTGAAAGAGAGCGCTGGGTGTTTGAACGTTGGTCTGAGATGGTGTGTGTAGTGTAGTGTGTCTTTATATGTGTGTGTGTGTGTGTGTGTGTGTGTGTGTGTGTGTGTGTGTGTGTGTTGAGGCAGGCTGAGCGTTGATGGCTGCGAGGATTAAAGCTGCCAATCACAACTGTCCGTCCAGATAAGAGGAGGCGTGACCTGCAGAGGTCAAACAGCAGAGATAATCCAAACACACTTCAGCTCACACGCACATCTTCACTGTCAGGACCCCGAATGCTGAAACACTGCACACACTCTTCCTCTCTTTAGATCAGGGGTGTGTAACATACGGTCCGTGGCTCGCCAAAGGCTCCAATCCGGCCCACTAGATGACGAGGTTAAGAGGTGCAAGGTTTAAGGAGGAAGTTAAACAGTGAGTAGCTGCTTCAGACGCTTTTCCACCCCGACCAGAATATAAAAACCCCTGAATATTATAAATCAGCAGCTTCAGTATAAAAGAATCAAAATTCTGTCTTAAAACAATATTTGTGGAACCGTGCTGCTAAAGAACAGAAATATATAGATATATGCAGATGAGATGACTGAATGAACTGAGACATATTATTGAAACTACATTTATTTTTCTTAAGACTTCTCATTTGTTTCATAAAAGGATGAATGTTTACAGAATTAACACCCATGAACCATGAACTAAAATGAGTTTGACCCCCTTGATTTAGATTATATAAGCAGTGCATCCAGTCCACCCTGTGGTTGTATGACTCCGCCCACCAGTCCACCCTGTGGTTGTATGACTCCGCCCACCAGTCCAGTGTCTCTGACAGTCTCCATCCATGTCAGTGAAAACATGGATGCTTCACACACAGAAGATCTATACAATCAGCACAGTTTCAAGATTAGAGTCACCAATTCAGTATCTGACCAAATGTCTCCCCTTCTGTTCCTGAGATATGACGTTAAAACATGATGATGTCACAGTCAAGCTGACCTTTGACCTTTTGACCTTCATTATTTTATCCTGTCAGACATTTGTGTCAACTTTGGTCAGAATTAGTGAATGAATTCTTCAGTTATGGCCAAAAACATAATTTCTGAGGTCACACTGACCTTTGACCTCCAAAATCTAATCAGTTAATCACTGAGTCAAAGTGAACGTTTGTGCCAAATTTAAAACCTCAGGATGTTCATGAGAACAGACGAGGTCACAATTTATTCACGTTTGATCAGCAAAATTTAATCAGTTCATTGACGATCAATCGTCTTTGCAAACCTGTGTGACAACAATATCAAAGGAAATAAATGATTCCTTTAATTTAACTTTATATATATATTCATATATAGTTTATTCATATTCAGGTTTTATAGTTAATGTAGAATAAACATATGATTTTGTTACAGATTGCTGCTATTTTACTCAAAAAAGAAAAGAAACGTAAAATCGTGACAGAGGTGGGTTTGCAGTCTGAGGTCACACAGCCCACAGTAAATGGCACCATTTTTAATTTAATGTGAGTTTTTATTCTTATAAACACATGTATGCGTGGCAATCTGAATGATTCACAAGGCCCCCTCTTCAGCCCCCCGAAACTCTGAATCCATCGCAATGGTTCAGCATATTTACTTAAACGGAAGATGGAAACGGAAATTTGCCTCCTCCGCCCAAATCAACCCGGAATGCCAAAAAATCGGGGGTCTGCCCCCAGAGGCTGTATCGCCGTCTGCCGGGAGTCAGACACCAAATACATGACGTAACAGAGCCGAATCTGACACGTACACATGGAGACAGACGTGTCTCTGTTTCTGACGAGAGCTTAATAACCATCAGAGGATGAAACTGATGATGATGATGATGATGATGATGATGATGATGTTCAGTGCTTTGGTATCAGTGTCAGCTGTACACACACACACACAGCTCGGGTCATGTTGACTTAAGATGCCATCGTCTGGTTTTTTGCACTTAGCCGTGATGCGCACTATTCTGACCATCTGTGCACTTTGAATGTATGGACTGCCTCGTTACCATGACGACAGCAACGATAGTGAAAGAGATGAAGGTGATGATGATGATGATGAATGTGTGCTGCATTCTGTGTGTGCGTGTGTGCCAGCTGGCGTGCT